TACTACTACTACTACTACTACTACTACTACTACTACTACTACTACTACCTATTGCTAACTACTACCTACTTTGGCAACTCAAGGCGTCAAGGGCTTCAGTGGTGAACTGGGGGATCTCGTCCGGATCTCGTCTGATCTCGTCCAGGATCTCTTCCTGAGGCCTGTACCATTCCCAAACCCATGTTCACAGGAGCTGGGAGCAGTTCTGTGGTAGCTGGAGAAGAAGCTCTTCCCCCTTTACCTCCTCCAGCAGAAGCGCCTGCGGACGCAAGGCCTTTGGATGGTAATGTTTGTGCAGATTGTCAGCGCTTGCTGGATGATGCAAACAAATCGGCTCTTCCTGGCTATTGCAAGAAATGTTTCGCAGCAGAGGCTGCTTTGAACCTGGTGGGCAGACCATACGACCCATACGCCCAGTGCATGCTTTGCGCTGGGCAGATCAGTGCAGAAACCAAATCTCCTGTGCCTGGGTGCTGCTTTGAATGCTACGAGCAGCAAGATGCTATTCAACTTGCCATGCAGCAAGCAGCGCAACCAGTGACAGTGGCAGAGGAGACGCATGCTGCGGAACCTGCACGGCGGCCGCTCGAAAGTCTAGCTCCGGAAGCAGAGCCGCCGGAGCCGACGAGCGTTCCCCCACCAGAAGGCTGCAGGCGGCGCAAGAAGGAGAGCGAGCAAGATTGGTTTGCTCGCGTCCAGAAGCATCGTCACCAGTCGCAGGCGCAACAAAAGCAGTACCGAGAACAGTGGAAATCCTTCGACGAGGGTCATCGTGAGCGTTTTCGCTCTGAAGTGGAGTCCTTGGCAGGCAGTTCAGAACCAAAGGCTGTTTGCGATAGCAAATCTGTGGCCGTGGCGACAGCGCCTGAGCATCCAACACCATGGCTGCAGGTCACGGATGGCAAGCGAAGTGTCGCTCTGCCAGCTGGCTTCTCTGCATCGGACTTGAAAGTGCGCTTTGACAAGTTCGCTCAGAATCCAGCTGGGTACGATCAGAAGAGGTGGGAAATGTATGCCCTGGTGCATTTGATGCTGCGAAACCCTGACTGTGTAGAGTTTTCCAATGCCAATCGTGCTCAACAAGAGACTTGGTCCTGCGCTGGTAGCTTTTTGGTGACAGAGTATTTATTTCCAAAACCTGTGATCCTTGAAGTGTACCCAGCCTGCAGCCTAGGAACTGCCATCTTTGCGGCTTAACAAACACTATTTGTACCGCATACGGGAAGCATGCGGTGAAGGAGTTTTGCCTTTTGATTGCCCCACGGCATTCAAAATGGGCCGCTCGCCCCAGTCTAGCCTCAGTGAAGCCGAGAAAGAAGATTTGCTTCTGTTTGAACTCTTGACTGCTAGAGACAGCCCGATTTGCTGCCACGTGCTTTTAACTGTAGCCGCGTGATTCTTTGCCGCAGGTGGCTGAAGTGGAATGAGCGAACTGGCACGCCCCTCTCGATCTCTGAGTTTCAGGATGGAGTGATTGTCATGAAATTGGAGAAGCAAGGGGCCCTAGCCAATGCAGACAGCCTGGAGCAAGTCAAATCTATTGTTGAAGCTCACAGACCAAAGTTCTCGCACTTGTGGGCGAGATTCAGGGAATGGATAGCGAAGCACAAGCAGCAGGAAGGCCAAGTGGCTGTTTCGAAGTTGAAGGTGAAAAGTGTGGCTCAGGTGTCTTCTTGCCAGCCCGCTACAGTAGAGAGAGCTATGAATGACTTGGAGTCCATGATGGCAAATTTGGGCTTGACAGTGGATGGGGTGCTGACTCATGAAGGCTCAGCTCGTCTGATTGTCTGTGATGAGAAAGGCTTCAGTGCCAGGCCAGGGGCTTTATTTTGGGACTCGATTGTTGATGTGTTTTTGGACCGTGACATTTGAACGGAATTCTTGCTTTCTCCCTGCAGGTCAGATGCCATCGCAAAAGGCATCACCACCCGTGCTGGTCGTTCGCTGGCCTCAACTACGGCAGCTACAACATCTTTCGAGCATGTTGCCGTCACATCCTTTATGCCGGTGTCTGGGCAATCTCTGCCTATTGGTGTGATCCTTTCCCGCAGGACGTTGCATCCCTCTCTGCAAGAAATTTGGCCAGAGGCAAAGTTCTGGTGTAGCGACAGCGACTCCCAAACGCCGGAATCTTTCCCTAGCATGCTAGAGGAATGCTGTCTACGGCCTTTGCGTCTGCGGTTTCCAAATTTTGATGACAAGTGCCTTCTGGTGATGGATGGCGGCGGTGGCTCTTGGCTCCACATCTCTGTTCCCACAGTCTTGCTGCTTCAGAGATACGGGGTGGAATGCTATGTCTTACCAAGTTACACCACGGCTGCTCTTTGCGCTCTGGATCAACAGCCTCATGCTTTGATGAGCAAAAGATGGAGTGCTTTCAAGAACGCATGGTCCAAGAACGGGAACGATTTGAATGTTTTCCAGTGTTGGCAGCTCTCAGGCGCATCGTAGCAGAGGCGCTGAGCTCTCAAAATGCCTTGGCAGGCTGGGCTCGCTGTGGAATAATTCCAGGGGAGTTAATGGAAAAGAAAGTGGTCCTTGAGGAGCGGTTCGCGGAATTGTTTACATCGAAAAAGTCAGGTGCTGGTTCCCTCAGTGCTCCCCAGACAGCCAACGCTTTGTCGCTAGTCAGCCAAATTTCTCCAAAGAAGAAAACATGCGGGAAACATTCTTGCAAGTGTATGGTGGCTGCGACGATGCGTTTTTGTCCCGAGTGTGGTTCTGAAAACGCGCATTACGATGCAAAGGTTGCTCAGCTCTTCAAGAGCGGTCGACGCCCAGGCTGGCACAAGCCGCCAGAAGCAGAGCCGCTCTTGCCTGAGACGGAGGAAGAGAAGAAGCTAGCCCGTGGTGTTGGAGATCTTTTGAGCCGCTTGAGAAAGGCTCCACCCACGTCAGAAAATTCGGAGCCAATGCAGGGTGAGGGCGGAAAAGAAGAAGAAGAAGAGGAATCGGACGCAGGGTGGAACCTCAACAATGTGGATGACTGCTGCTCCTTCATTGAGCACAAGTTTCCTGCAAAAGAGGCTGAAGCTTTGGGTGTGAATGTTGATATGTTCTCCAAGGTCGCGCTTTTTTACGTGAAGTTCTTGCGGAACAAGAGAACTCCAAAAGCAGAATTGCGCGCGCATTTTACAAAAGAAATCATCGAGCCGAACACTTTGGGCTCGAAAACTGGAAGGAAGAACTGGCTCCAAACTTGGCTAGCACAGCGCAAACGCGTCTTCGCACCGAAGACATGAGTTGGAAAAGTCAGCGCGGCATTTGCTGGGATACTCTCTGGGAGGCGGTGCCATTGTGAAAGGATGCCCGAACATACTTCTTGTTGGGGTTGGCTCAACATGTTGCACATCATTGTTCCATGCTGAAGTGCAAGATAGTGAAACATTTACCATGTTTTTGCGTCCCTTACTGGCGCGGTTCCATGGCGAGAAGCTCCAAAGCCATGACTTTGGTATGACTTCTGGGAGCAGCGGTGCCATGCGGAAGAAGGGTTGGGGTATGACTTAGGCATGACTTAGGCTTTCCCCTGTATGCCAATGGATGTTGTTCGAGTCCAAGATGCCAAAGGGAAAGGTAAGAAGGGCAAGAATGACCATCAAAAAGAAAAAACGGCAAAGGTCACGTTCTCTTTTCGAAGAACGAACTTCTCGTCCATCGAGTTATCAAGGTCACGCAAGGAAATTTCAACACTTTCCTGTTGGTCTTTGTACTCAATTGTAGCTCTCCTTCCCCATGATCTGCCATACTCAATGGGAATAATGCTACATCTGCTCCACTGTCATCATGATGGCCACCTCCTCATTCTCTTCCCCTAGTCTTCTCCCCATGGGTTCATCATTTGAGATGTCAATTTCTTCGACTTCATCTCCAATGTAGAAGTGAATTACTCGAACTCCTTGATCTTCTAGCTCATCATCTCCTTGTCTCAAGTCAAAGATGATTGGCTCACTGTTCACAATTCTCCTGACCACTGGTTTGGTCTCTGCTGGGCTCCCCTGTTGGCTCACACTAGCATGTTGTTGACCAACCGTATGAGCTGTCACTGGCCCGGACTGGCCCATACTTGGCTATGGAAGGTTGATGGAACATGGCTTGAACTACCGCTCAAGGCCGCATTAGAGTCATTCGAGATGAAGATCAGAACGGCTTGGAGGTGCAAGGACCTGAAGCTCTTGAGAAAGAATCAGGTTGGAGATTGAATGAGCATGGACTGCTAGCGGGGAGTTTATTGATTTCAAATTTTGTGGATCCCACAGTCTTTCCAGAAGTGGAAGAACCCTGGCGAGAACTACTTTAGTGAAAAGAGGAGGTCGATGGCTAACGCTTGAATATTGAGGGCATGATGAAAAAGGAGGAACTTGATGAGCAGTTCTTTGAGTACGACAGCCAGCTTTCGTAGAAGGCGCCAGCTGAGTTGTGTTTGGCGAACGAAGTGAGTAAGTAGGGGGTGTGTGGGGGGGGTGGCCCGAGAAAGGGCTACGTAAACTCCAAATTAGGTGGTGTTTAGGGGTCCACCAAAGTAAGGTTTTCGAGGTCTTTTTTGATGTGATTCTTTGTGATTTTTGAGGGGGTGGTGATGCAAGAAATGCCATTTGCATCATTTGCATCATCTGAATGGTAAGGTGTAGATTATATAGAGGCCGACGACGCTGGCTTTCATTTTGCAGCTTCTCAGGTGATGGTGCAGTCATTCCTTCAATCGCAATCTTCAGCTATGAGCCAGCGCCGCCAGAGGATATGGGATTCTTTGCGCCAGATACAAGAAGCTTGGGAACTGAGAGCAAAGAAAGAAATAAGTGCAGCAGGCGCTAGAAGAGATTACCCCTACCCCGCTGGAGAAGGAGGTAGGAGGTCATAAAGAAGATGAATAGAAAGAAGATGACCTTGAGTGCGAACTACAATTGAGCCCCATGGATGTAGACAAAGTCTTCGTGAATGGAATAGGGTCGACTAAGGATTCATCTTTGGCAACTCTGAGAGCAGCTTGTTCATTTCTCGGCGGGCGTTTCAGGCATTGGCTCTAAGCCTCCAAGCTGAAGGTCTACACCAAGACCCTTAGTCAAAAGGAAAAGAACGCCAAAAGCTTGGTGGGTGAACCAAAGCCCAGGAGACTAGAGAGGCATTGTGGCAAAGATGCGAGATGAAGCAACTCAAGCAAGGCACAGATTGACGCACTTGCCATATGCCACTTGTTGTAAGGCGCGCATTGAACATCGAGCGCATCCACACCGCCATCAAAGAACATATGGACTGAAGAGAGGAAGTGTTCGTGAGGTAAGCTTTGACTTTTGCTATACAAGAGCAAGAGGCTCAGAAGAGCAGTATGCTGGCTGGTTGCAATTGACAGCAAAACTGGGTTCTGCTGTGCCATTAGGGAGCAAAGGCAAATTTCGTCTAATTGCGCAAGAGTCCATTTTTGGTGCATTCAGAAATCACCTACAGGAGTGACGACAAGGCAAATCCTCAAGATGCTCCTGATCAATGCTCGCCATAGTCTAGGACTCACTACTAGATTGGTTAACTTAAAGCTTGGGGATCATTCATTTCTGTCAGAGAATACAGGTGACAGGGTGAGAAAGCTTGCAGGAACTTTCATTGAAGGTGTGCAGTCAAGATTTGGTATCAAGAATGGATCAGATCACTTTGGACTTGAGCGCCAAGACATGCCAGTTGGTTCAGCCAGTGAGAGGAGCAACTCCCTATGAACTTGTCTATGGCAAGAGTTATAAAGGACTTCTAGCAGAGTTTGGCGAACCAGTTCATGGTTACATCAAGAGCCTCGACAAAGGAGAAGCGAGATGGCATTTATGCTTGTTCTTGGGAAAAGTTGAAAGGCAAGATACCGACGGAGTGCAGGTAGTGCTTAGCAAACACATCATGATCATCGAAAGAACAGATCAAGATTTGTCCAAATACTTACCCACATGCAAAAGCTTCAATGCGTTTTCATGGGAGTGCCAAACCAGCAGCGCAGACAAACATTCCTCGAGAACATGTAATGGTGAAATTCAGAGATGAGGATGCAGAAGCAGTCATGGCCAGGGCACTGCAGGAAGGCGGAAGTGTGTCAGAGAAAGAAGAACAACTATTTCCAGAGCCAAAGGATTCCAGCCCCGCTGGAAATCACTGTTGAAGCAATGAAAAGAGATGGAAGTGAAAGAAAGCCAAGTGGAGAAAAGAAATCAAGTAAGAAGCTGAAAGTTCTCTTTACAGATGAGAAGACACTTGAAGAAGTGAAAACATTTCCCTCTACATCATTGCCAGCAGGACAGCCAAGCCCAATTACTCCTATCTTATCTTCATTGAGATCATCATCAGCGCCATCCAAACCCAGAGAAGCCTTTGAATTGCCTGAGGAGCAAAGTCCAACGAAGAAATGCAGGCCATCAGATGATTCAAGCAAAAAGGCAAAGATCAACATGGTGAAAGTTAGAGGAGAAGATCTTTACCATGCAGATTGAAGAATTATTCACAGTTGCAGAAGAAGTTGGCGAAGAAGAGTGGGATGATGAAGAAGATGATTCAGACTTAGAAGAAGTCAATGGACCTGAATGCTCGTGGCGTGATGGAGAACATTAACCAGAAGGAGGTCCAGAAGAAAGGATTGACAGAGGAGTTGATGAAGTGGAGGAGAAAAGACCCCAGTTGCAAGTGCTAGTGACCAGAGGGAAGCGTAAAAAGGATTCAGTTACTTGACAGCGCGCAGTGTGTATGACTGGAGGAAGAAACAATATCAACTTGGAGATTGTATTTCAGTCAAGAGGTGGAAGAGGAGATCAAGACCAGTTGCAAGAGAATTTGCTTTCGCTGAAGGAAAGGAGAGAGATAACATTTCCCACCGGCGACTTCAGGACATGTACTGAAGCTTCTACCCACCGTTTTGTTGCAGAGAGTTGCCGAAGAAGATGAGACAAGAGAGGGAGAAGGAGCTCCTTCTCACAGATGTTAGGATGTCTTGATGGGAAGGATGAATTCTTACAAATTCCACAAGAGAAACCCTTAAAGATGTTCTTGAGAGGAGAAGATTTCCTAGTGAAGAGGAACCTACCTGGACAAAGAGTTGGAGCAAAAGCATGGTTTGACTTTTTCACAGAGTACCTCACACAGGAACCCAACTATATACAAATTTAGCGCCGAGTATCAATGCCCAGGAAGAAATGAGGAGTTTTATTTTGATCCACGTGGATGATTTGGTTTTCACAGGAGACTCAAAGTACATCAATGAAATTGGTCTTCCAAAGATCTAAGGCAAAATCGACACCAGTGTGAGCAATGGATTGAGTTCAATTTTCTGAGGCGAAATCACGAGCTTGAAGTTGATGGATTATGGATCCAACCAGGCAACTACACCCAGGACCCAGCAGATGTTGAAAGCGAGAGCAGATTGGACCTATCAAACTCCAACAACTACCGGCAGACTTTTCAATCCAGATAGGAGACAAGTCAGAAGTCTTGCATTAGCTTTGTTGGATCAGGCATCTATCTATGTCAAGAGAGGTAGGATGTAGCGTTCACCTTGAAGGAATTGGCTTCAAGAATGTCAAAGCCTACAGCTATATCGTTTCAGCGCTTGAAGAAATTCTTGGGATACTTGAGGAAGACAATGGACTATTGCCTAGTGCTTGAACTCCCACTAGAAGGAGAAGGTGAAGCTATCGGAGCTTGGAGGTATTCCCAGATTCAGACACAGAAAGTAAAATCAGGAGGCTTCCATGCATTGAGTTGTTCAGCAGAACACAGAAGATTGTATGACTACCTTCATGTGAAGGAGAACTACACGCAATAGTTTCCTCAGCATCAGGTGGATCTATACCAGAGCAGTTCTGGAGTCTGCTGTTGGGACAAAGGTGGGCCATTACATCTTCACAGATTCATCGAGCGCGCGTCAAC